GAAAACCCTCAACAGATATGCATAGTCAGGCAAAGCAAATTCCTTCATTAGTTATATTAAAAATTTATGTTTCATTCTGCAGTTTAGTCTATCACTTCTTCCGAAGATGGGTTGCCAGCTTGCTTCATTATCAGTCCTCTGTGGTTGGTCACTGCCTGGAATCAGAATTCTTACATCTTTCAAAGCTTTTTTCCTTTATAATGCCATTATATAAATTGTTCTCCTGGTTCTGCTTACTTCACTATGCACCAATCAGTTCATACAGATTTTCTTAGTTTCCTTTGAAACTGTTTCATCATTTCTTATGGCACAATAATATTCATATGCCACAGTTTGTTTAGCCATTCTCCAATAAATAAGCATCCCTTTCCATTTTTTACTACCATGAAAAAGGCTGCTACAAATATTTTGTACATTTTTAACCTTTTCCTTCTTTCTTTGATATCTTTGGGGTTACCTAATAGTAATATCATTGGGTAAAAGTGTAAACACAGTTTAGTCACTTTGGGGACATAGTTGCAAATATTTCTGCTTTCCAGAATGGCTGGACCAATTTACAGCTCCTCTAAGTGCACCAGCATGCCTGTTCTCCCAAAGCCACTTCAACTTCTGTCACTCTTTGCAGTGGTTATGAGGCAGTACCTCAGAGTTGCTTTACTTGGTATTTCTTTTATTTCGTTATTGATAGCTTGGATTTATTGTGAAAACTGTTTGTTCTATTCTTTGATGGTTCATCTTTTGGGGGAATGACTCATTCTTCTAAACTTGAATCTTATATATTCCTTATATATCTGGATATAGTTTTGGCAAAGAAACTTACTACAAAGAATTTACTTAGTTGTTTCTCTTCTAATTTTAATTATATTTGTTTTGTTTAATGCAAAACCTTTTAAATTTTATACAATCAAAATTATTTAACTTTTGTGATATTTTCTTTAATTTGGTCATGAACTTTTCCCCTATCCAAAAATCTGAAAGGCAATTTCTTCCTTGCTTTCTAATTTGCTCATCATGTCACCCTTTAAGGGTAAGTCAAGTATCAATTTGTTTTTCAATGTGAGATGTTTTATACCTAATTTCTCCTAGAATACATTTCCATTTTCCCAGTAGTTTTTGTCAAATAACAAGTCTTTACTTCAGTAATTGGAGTGTTTTTGGTTTTGCTGAAGACCATGCTATTGTGCTCATTTACTTCTGCTATGCTATGTACTTCATCTGCACCCCTGATCTCTATTTTTTAACCAAAACGAAATCATTTTGATGATGACTGCTTTATTGTACAGTTTGAGATCTGGTACCTCAAGGCCTCCTTCTTTCCTATTTTTTTTTCACTGTTATCATTGAGATTCTTGACCTTTGTTTTTCTAGATATATTTTGTTATTTGTTATTTTTTTTAGCTCTATATGATAATCCTATGTTAGTTTGATTGGCATGGTACTGAAAAAGTAAATTGATTTAGGCAGTACTGTCATTTTTTCATTATATTGGTATGACCTAATCATGAGCAATTTCTCCAATCATGTAAGTCTTTCTATTTTCTCTAAAGAGTATTTGTAGCTGTATTAATATAGTTCCTGCATGTGTCTTGGGAGATAATTTCCCAAACATTCTATAATTATTTGCAGTGGAATTTCTATTTCTATCTCTTCTTGATGGGTTTTGTTGGCAATACACAGGAATACTGATGATTTGTGTGGATCTACTTTACATCCTGCAACTTTGCTGAATTTATCACTTCAACAAATTTTTAGTTGACTCTTTAGTGTTCTCAAGATCATCATATCATCTGCAAATGTAATTTTGTTTCCTCTTTGACTGTTTATTCCCTTGATTTCTCTTTCTTGTCTTATTGCCATACCTAATTTTTTTAGCCCTATGTTAACTTGCAGTGGTAATAATGGGCATCCTTGCTTTATCTTGGATCTTATATAATGACATCTAATTTTTCTTTATTATATATAATGTTTGCTCTTGCTTTTAGACAGATGCTACGTGCTTTGTCAAGTAAACTTTAACAGAAATAGGTATTGCATTTGTCAAGAGCTTTTTCCACACCTATTAATATCATCATACAGTTTTTATTATTTATATTAATAATGTTTGTTATATTTATAATCTTCTTTATATTAAATCAGCCCTACATTCCATAAACTCAACCTGGTCACCACACATAAAATTTTTGATATGTTGCAGACTCTTTGCTAACTTGAACAATTTTTTTTTTGCATCAATGATTATTAGGCATAGTGGTCTGTAGTTTTCTTTCTCTGCTTTCTCTCTCCCTGGTTTGGGTATTAAGATTATATTTGTATTGGCTGACTTCAGAAAAACCTGGAAAGACTTATATGGTCTGATGCTGAGTGAAGTGAGCAGAACCCAGAGGACTTTGTACACAATAACAGCCATGTTATGCAATGACTAAGATTGTTAAACTGAACCCTTCTCAGCATTACAAGGATCTAAGACATCTCCAGAGGCCTCGGGATGGAAAATGCTGTCCACATCCAAAGAAAGAACTATGGAAGTTGAATCGCTATCACTTATTTTTACCTTCTGTTGAGTTTTGTTTCATCTTTCTGATGGTTCCTCCTATTGGTTTTAATTTTCACTTACAACTTCACTAATGTGAAAATATGTTTAATGGGTATGTAAATGTAAAGTCTATATCAGATTGTGCACCGTCTTGGGAAGGGTGGGGGGGAGGAAGGGGGGAGGAAAATTTTCAACTCAAAAGCATATGGAAGTGATTGTTGATAAATCAAAATAAATTAATAAAATTTTAAAAAAGACAATATTTGTATTATATACAGGGACTAGAATGCTCTCTTTTCATTTTATAGAAAGTTTATATAATATTGGAATTGTTTTTTGAATATTTGATAGAATTCATTTATGAAATGATTTGGTCCTGAATTTTTTTCTTTGGGAATTCAGCATATTCACTTAAGTATGTCTTATCATTTCATTTTGTCATAATATCATGCTACTTTCTTAAATAGTCCTTTTTCTGTACTTCCTCTCCCTCTGCCTTACTGAACCATCTTCCTTGTGACAAAGAATTATAGTTAAGTAAAAATATCCAATATAGCAACTGCATCTATCAAGTACACGTGCGCACATGCACATACATACACAATTGTACCTGCCTATCTTCTATCATTATGGAGGCATGCTTAACTATCTGTTGTCCTGTACCTTCATTGGTTTTTCAGTTACTCAGAGTTTAACGTCTTTTCATAAGTTGTATATATACTGTCCTTTTGGTGTGACTTCTTTCATTTTGCATGAATTCATAAAAATTCTCCCCATGTTTCTCTGAATTTCTAATGTTTATTATTTCTTAATGAAAAATAATATTCCATCACATTTAATATACTATTTTTCCACCCAGCCATTCCTCAAGGGATGGACACTCACTTTGTTTCTAGTACTTCTCTAACACAAAAGTGTTGCTTTGAATATTTTGGCATAAATAAGATCCTTATTTCTGACTTTGGCTTCTTTGAGGTATAAGCCCACTAGTATTATTGCTGAGTAAGGATATTTTAGTCATATTTCTTGCAAAATTCCAAATTGTTATATAGAACAATTAGACTAACTCATAGCTCAACCAACAGTATATTAGTGTACCTGTCTTCCCATGGCCCCTCCACAACTTTAGGTTTCCATTTCTTAAAAAACATCTTATGGGATTAAAAAATCATAGATTTAAAGCTGAAGAGAATTTATGAGGTCATTCTGTCCAATCCCCTCATTTTACAGATAAGAAAACTGAGGCCCAAGGTCACATAGTAAACAACAAAGCCAGGATTAGAATTATAGTTCTCTGACTTGAAAATCAAAATTCTTCTCATTGAATCATACTGCCTCTCATTTTTGCTAATGTTTATAGTAAGTTGTTTTAATTTGCATATCTTTTATTGTTAGTAGGAACATGTTTTCACACGGTCATTTGTAGTTTGCAATTCTTCCTTCAAAAATTGTTTATAGGCAGCCACTCTTATTCATGAGGCCCCTGATATCTGGAAAGGACCATTTTAGGCCCTTTCTAGTAGGTAGAACATAGTATAATAGAAAGTACACTCACTCACTCACTAGTTTCGTAACTTTGGGCAAGTCACTTAACCTTCTCTAAATGCCTCAATTTCTTCCTTGGGAAGTGAGGATGACAACATTTGCATTAGCTAACATATAGCACTGTTAAGAAAACACTTTTTAATCTATAAAGTGCTACAGAAATTTGTTTTCATTTTTATTGGCTACTACAGAAAATAACTAGTGTGAAACATCATGAGCCCAGTCTCACTTCCAGAAGATAAGTTTTACAATTAAATTAAAATCAGGCTGACCAGAATATCACACATAAAGGTTACTATTGATTATTAGTTGATTTAAAGACTTGTTTCTGCTATGCCAACAGGAACAGACTGCTAATAAACCTGATTAGAGAAGTCATATACAACTTACAATCTCTATACACTACCATTAAGCTAACTAATGTACACTTTGCTACAGCTTTTAAGGCTTATGTTTCCAAGAAGACTCTGTGATTTAGCACTACTAGCTCTCTAATGAAAGGTTACATCCATCTGCCTTAGGCTTTGTAAGGTTCTTGGAAGCTCTGAAAACCAGTTCAACTGAAAAGAATATCCTGGCTAAAAGGTTGTTAGAAGAACTGCCAATACTCAGGGCTTAACCACAGTGTTCCGTCCGTACCTGCCCTCCTCTTCCTATGATGATCAAGCAGAATCTCTTTAAAGCAGTTAGAGAGCCCTTGAGGTTTTAGGATCTAAGAACCATAGTTCTGAAGGCAATTACAATAATCTTACCATCACTTGCCTGCAGGGACATATTTGGGTCTGATTAGGCAACCAGTACTACTTAGTACTGTAATGTAATTTTCTTGGGATTTGTGATGAACTATTTTCAAGGTTCTGTAATAAAATAATAATAAGTATTACTACTTTAAAATATGCACTGGAGGCCCAAATATTAATTAGAAAATATGCTAGGATAACTAGGCAACCAGCAAATTAAAGGTTGTTCTCTTGGCAAGTTAAATATCCCTCCAGTGGTAGCAGTCAAAAATTTAGCTTTTGAAAAGAACAAAAAAAAGTGACATTTACAGAAAGTTTAAAGGTAAAAATGTATTTGTACTTTCATACACTCAAAATATATTTACTGAGTGCCCTACAATGTACAAGGCACTGTGGGGAATTCAAAGAAGAGTAAGATACCTTCATGTCCTCTTGGAGGTTTTTTTTCCTATTGGAGTTTAAAAACTAATACAATGGAAAAGATACAAAAAAAACATACTATAAGGTACTATATTAGAAATGCCATGAGATAGGAAAAATAAAATTCAAAAATACAGGATGAAGACATTATTACTGTCTTAAGGGAAGTCCCAGATGTGGAAGGACCAGGGAAGACTTCATGAAGACCAATAGGGACCAAGGGAATGACATAAGCAGAGAAAAGGAAGGGCAAGTCTTCTTCATAGAGGAAGGAATAATGTAGTTTCACAATTCATACATACAGGAAGTAGAAAAAAAGCTAGAAGGTTATGGAGAGTTAATGCCAAATTAGGGAGTCTGAATTTTACCCCTGGGCAATAGGGAACCAGCGATATTTTCTAAGCAGTGGAATGACACAATCAAAGTTGTTTTGGAATATTAATCTAGCTGCATGTTCAGAAAGGATTGAAGGAGGTAAAGATTAAAGACAGGGACATCAATTTAGATCAGGGAATCTTAACCTGGAGGCCATGAAATAGATACTTATAACATTTTATTTTATGCATTTAAAAATATGACTCTTAGTAGGGGCCCATAGCCTTCACCATACTTGCCAAAGAGGTCTATGACACAACAAAAAAGATTAAGAACCTCTGACTTAGAGGCTGTTACACTGGTTTAGATGACAGGTAATGAAGGACTGAATTAAGGTGGCAGAAGTGAGAGAGTAAAATAAGAGACTGATGTAAGAAGCACAAAGTCCAAACTTAGTGTCTGGACTTAGAAACTGCTGTTCATCAATTTGTCCCAAGTATATAATAATCAATGTTGGGAAAGAGGAGAAGAATACTCTCCCCTATATATATGTGTATATATATATATATATGTATATATATATATATATATATATTTTGGGGGGGGGTTAGGCAGTGGGGTTCAGTGACTTACCCAGGGCCACACAGCTAGTAAGAGTTATGTGTCCGAGACTGGATTTGAACTCAGGTCCTCCTGACTCCAGGGCTGGTGCTCTATCCATTGTAATACCTAGCTTCCCCCAATGCTTCCTATTATAATAACATTTTGGGAATGGCAACCTTAACATTATTGGCAGACCTTAAGAGAAGAGAGTCTGAGGCTGTAGGACTCTTACCTGATATCTGCCTTTGTGTGCAGGTAGGGAAAAAGAACATAGCTAGAAATACTCATAAACTGTGAGAAGGAAAAGCATGGTGGTAGTGGATGAACTGGCAATCCATCTAATGCAAGAACTCCGACTGTTAGCAACAATTAATTATAATTCTCACCTCTCAAAAATGATAATTTGGATGTGAATTCAGGTGGGACTGATGTGATGTAAAATGTGAGTTAATTCTGAACCCACTCTCCCAAAAGATCAAGGTAGTATAGGGAAGATATGCCTCCAAAGAGTAGGGGCGGGGCATACTGGGATGGGGGGGGTATATTTGTACTACCATTCTTGCTCTATCTTCAAAGTCAATATCCCCTTTTAAAAGCAAATTGATGTTAACTGGTAAAAATGGTACTGGGGTCCAGTGACTAGAGATTAACAGTAAGGAAGCAACACCAGAATGGGGCTTCAATAGAGAACAGACAACCCAACCCCTCATGGACATCCCTAGACCCTGTAGCTGGCCTAGCTCTGGGACAATGAACCTCAAGTAACTGCTATACTACACTGTTTCAGTTAGAAGGGCCTTTACAAACTATCTCATCCAACTCCTTCATTTTATGAATGATGACAGGCCCAGAAAGCTAACATGAGTTGTCCAGTGTCACACAACTCTCACCAAACTAAAACAGTGAGATGCTGATATTTGAAACTAAATGCTAACAAAAATATATTCTAGGACAATGAAATGATTCTACACATGTATTCACTTCTATTGAGCCATTATGACATATTAGCAAAGGAATTTATGAGGTTAAAAATAATGGCAAGAAAATAAACACACACACATACACATAGAAATGGCAGCCTTACCAAAGTATTGCAGTGCTGAGAAGGCACAGTTAAAAAAACATTATGGCAATAGCATAGCCTAAGAATGAGGGCCTGGTATAATACAATACCTCATAGATCTGTCTTATGGAAAAACGGACCTCACTGATAGAATTCATAGTTTTTTCAGATCTTGTTATGCCACTTGCAGCATCCAATCTCTAAGCATTTATTTATTTTAAAAATAAATCTGTTGACTTTTTTTGTTTTTATTCTATCTATATTTCCCCAATATTCTTCCTCCCAGAGAACCATCCCTTATAAAGAATTTTTTTAAAGAGAAAAAAGGATGAGCAAAAAACCCCCAACAAAATCAATCCATATATCAAAAGAATCTGACACTGTGAAATCTTTGGTGCCCATGAGCCCCTCTTTCACCTCTTCGGGGGAGTGAACATACCTAAGATGTGGAAGGTACCAGGGAGAAGAAAAAAATTAAATAGTCTTATTTGAAGGAGCTTACATTCCATTAGGGGAGCAATGTATCAATAAAGAGGCAGAAACTAAATAAGTACAACAAGTCCAAGGTAGGGGTGGAGTTGAGTGCAGCCAGGAAAGGCTGAAGGTCCTGAACTGAGCCTTGAAATAAGTGACTGATTCTATGAAGTAAAGTAAGGGGGAAAGAGTTTTCCAGGCATGCTGGATAGCCAGGGCAAAGGCATGGAGATGGAGATGGATTGCTTTATGTGAGGAACAGAGAGAGAGCCAATGTGGGGAGAACACAGAGTGTGGGAGAAGGGATAACACGGAAAGAATCTGGAGAAAGGACTTGGGCTCAGGTTGCAAAGGGCTTTACCATCAAAACAGAAGAATTTAAATTTGATTCTGGAAGCAACAGAGGGCCACTGGGTTAAATGAAGAGAGCTTAGCTTGATAACAGCTGTGGGATCTTAGGAAGCGGTTACTGAGTAAGGGGATGCCAGTGGTCAGCTTCTGCATGTAAGGAATATCACTTTGGTTACAGAGCAGAGGACTCAGCCTTAAGGGTGGAAGACCAATTAGGAGTCTTTGGAAATAGTCCAGGTAAGATGTGATACAGACTGAACTAAGGTGCTGGCCATGTAAATGGGGAAAAGTGGCCAGACATGAGAGATGTCATAAACCAGGGGTTCTGCACTGTTTTTTTTAGCTTCATGGACTCCTTCAACATTTTGGTAACACCTATATACACTTTCTCTAAATAATATTTTTAAATATATAAAATAATGCACATATTTTTATAGAAGAAATCAATTATATTGAAATAGTTATCAAAATACTTTTGAAAAACAAGTTCACAGATCCCAGATTAGCAACCCCCTTTGGTGATGAACTAGCAACAAGATTCGGCAGTTGACTGGCTATGTGGGACGAGGGAGACCAGGAAGGTTATGAAACCGAAGAACTAGAAGAATGGCAGTGTCTACAACAGAAATAGGGGAGGATCCAAAACACCACTGGTTTACATTACATGCTTTCCCTGGCTGGCGTTCCAAATCAGAAATCCCTATATTCTGATAAGAAAGTGTTCCCAAGCCAACCCATCTTCCCCACTTTCTTCCCAGACCCCAACAATACTGCTTTACCTCTTCTCTACAGGACATATTTTTTCCTGGCTACCCACTAGCCACAAGAAAGGAACCGAGGGGCTCAAAAGCATACCTTCACCCTTCCTCTCCCAAAACCACAGAGCATGAGGCTTACGCTTGCCTTAGGAGAAACCACGATTTGTTCCAACTATGAGAATACTGCATCTGTTCTTATCCATATGTAGTTGTGAAAATGTCGCATTTGTCCTCAAGGCACTGCTGGTGCCCATGAGGGTGTATGCTGAGGTATTTCTATCACTAGGACCCAACTGCTGGGGCCTACATAAAACTAGAAAAGCCTTTCAGACCTACAATTTACAAACAAATCCAAACCACATAAGATGTTTTAATCACAAGGAATGACACATAACGCTTAAGCTATCATATCAATTAAAAGGTATAAAGATTTTGCATTCTGTGAATTTAAATATTAGGCCACTAATACCCTTCTCTGATGCAACATTGAGATACAGAGATCATAGTAAAGGTGAGACTAACTGGGCTCAAACTTTGGTAGGTTCTATCTAGGTGAAAAAATGTCAATTACCATTCAATGACATCACTCACACTTCATTAATTTCTTTGGAAATATTTAATATACTGGGGAAACATAATACTTGAGTTTATTGTAAATAAGCCTTCTCTAGTACAGAGCTTCATAGATATGACCTTTCCTGTTTGCAAAAAATGTAAAAAAAAATCTAGAAGATATTTTAAAAAATTAAATCAGTGAAAATATGTAAAAAAAAAGAAAAGAAAAAAAGCACTGGGCTTGGAAACAAAAGGCCAGGAATTATGTATAGCCTCTGCACTTACTAGTTTTGTAACCTGAGATGAGTTCCTAGATGTGCTATGTGTTCAGCAGTCCAAATGTATAAAACAGCAGAATTTTATATTGGTATAGTATTCTTAAGTATCATGTATGATTAAAAAAAATGCTTGGATTTCCAAAATTCAGGTAAGAACTTTGAAAAATTTTAAAACTAGTACTGCCTTAATCTATTCTTAAATGTGACATCATAAACATTAATCAGTGGTAGCTCTGATCATTCAACAACTTCTGAAAACATTACCTACATAGTAAGCTAGCAGGCTAATGTTGAAATTAACAAGACCTAGAACTTACTCAATTCTTACTAATGGTAGCATATTCTTTGAAAAGCTAGGACTGTAATATTAAATTCCCAGTTCCAAGTTTTAGGAAGGGAGGAAAAGAGGGAAAAACAAACATTTATTAAGAGCCTATTATGTGCCAGGCACTGTGTTAAACACATTACAAATATTATCCCATTTGATCCTCACAACATCCCTGGGAGGTAGGTGCCATTTTTATCCCCATTTTATACTTGAAGAAACTGAGGCAGATAGAGGTTAAGTGACTTATCCAGGGTCACACAGCTATAAGTGTCTGAGGTTGGATCTGAACTCAGGGCTTCTGAATCCAGGCCCAGTGCTCTATTTACTGAGCCAGGACATATTTAGTTCATAAAACATGTCATAGTTAAAATAAAATTTGAGGATCATCTAGTCCCCTTTCCCATCTAACACATGAATCTCCTCTACATATTCCCTCATAAGTAGGTACTTCACTTTGACCCTCACAATTCCAGTGACAGAATTCATTATCTTTCGAGGCATCACATTCCCTTTTTACACAGCTCTAATTCTTAGAGAATCTTAACTGTGTACTGAGTCAAATTCTGTCTCAATAATTCTGCCCTTTAGGGTTAAGCATAATCATTTTACCTGTACTTTCTCATGACAAGCCCTTAAATATTTTGAAGACAGCGCCTACCTAAGCCTTCTCATGGCTAAATGATCCCAGTTTTTTCATTAATTCTAATAGGAAATAGTTCTGAGTCACCTGACCCCCACCATTCTGGTTGCCCTCTTTAAAAAATCTCTCTAGTTTTTCAAAATGTCTTTCAAAATGTGCTACCCTGAAATGATACCAGATACAAAACTTGGTTTATAGAGGAAAAAAATAGGGAACTGAATATAATCTGAAGTAATTAACTTGGTGCTGATTAATCAAAGTAACTTGGCAATACTGTTCCTTACTGCATCAATCATTCAAATATCAAAGGCACAGAGCACACATAGACAATCAATGTGCCCCCACTTGCATGCCCTTCTTCCTCCCTTGCAGCTGGTCCAAATCCTCCCCAATCCTCCCCAATCCTCCAAACACTAGCTCTAGTCCTCTCTCTTCCACGAAGCTGTTACTGACTCCAGCCCACACTAAGCTTTTCCTACTCTAACCTTCTATATCACATATTATCTCTATGACTCATTTTGCCACCTAATCATACACTTTCTTATACCGTTATTTTTATAGATATTTCTATCTTTTTCTCCAATGAAACTATATGCTCCTTAATAGCTGGAATTATATCTAATGCCTATTTTATAATCCCCACAGTACATCGCACACTGTTGGCACAAAGGAAGTACTCGATCACAGAAGCTATAGAATGTCAGAGCTGGGAGGGGTCCCAGAACATATTTATGCCTACCTTCCTCAATTTATAAGAGACTAAACTGGGATCCAGAGAAAGGATGTGACATATGCACATTCACAAACTGAAAAGAGTTCAGAGTGAGCACTAGACCCTAGATCTTCTGGCTCTCAACACCACGCTTCTGTCTAGAAATATTAGACCGAATAAACAATTTAGGAATTACCTTTGTGAATAAGATTGTAAAATAAACACATAAAACATCTATGACACTTTATTCTAACAATCTCCCATGTAGTAACTTCACTAATTAGAGGACTTAGGACATTTCCTCATAATAGTCATCCATATCTAGAGTGCTCACTATTGGTAAGATTAAAATGAATGTGAAAAGCAAACTGTAGCCATAAAGTGTTATTTAAATGCCAGATATTCTTGTTCTTGTTATTATTATTATTATTATTATTATTATTATTATTATTATTATTATTATTTTAGACTGATAAGCACAGTGCATATGGAAAATGGTTTATTCTTCCTTGACCAGAAAAGGTAGTCCAATGTAGTGGAGGAAACGATGGCTAGCCCAGTGCCTGGCACATTGTTGGCTCTTAACCAATGTTTATTGATTGATTGATTTGAAGTCAGTAAAGAACCTAGGTTCAAATTCTGCCTTCAGCACTTACCAACTATGTGGCCATGGGCAAGTGACAACCTTTCTGAGACTTAGTTACCTCAACAGTAAAATAGAAATAATCATCCCTGTAGGGTTTCTGTGAAGATCAAATGAGATAATGTGTGTCAGCACTTTGTGAACCTTAAAGTGCAACATGAAAGCCAATAATCATACATTCAAATAGGCTAGTACCATCATGGCCTTAATGCTAGAAGATGAATGTGAACGTTATCTTCTACACAAATCCAGCAAATCTGGTAGGGAGGAGGAGGCGTGCACCCTGATCCTGGGTTTGCTTGTGTCTCTGTTCCTTCCTTCCTTCTTCTTCCAAATGAACCTGGGCCTTTTTCTGATTCCTGCAGCTCTACATCACTTGGTTCTCCCTCTCTGACCTCTGACTTGTGCCATCCTTCTGCCTCCTAACTTCATCTTTTTTGTTTTTGTTTTTTGGCGAGGCGATAGGGTTAAGTGACTTGGCCCAGGGTCACACAGCTAGTGAGTATCATGTGTCAGCCCGGATTTGAACTCAGGTCCTCCTGACTCCAGGGCTGGTGCTCTATCCACTGCCACATCTAGCTGCCCCCTAACTTCATCTTATTAGCCACACCTACATTATTGGGCAACTCAACCTCCGTCTGCCTCAGTTTCCTCAGCTGTAAAATGAGGATAATACTAGGACCTACCTCCCAGGTTGTTTTGAGGATCTAATGAGATACTCTTTGTAAAGCCCTTAGCACAGTGCCTGGTACATAGTAGGTACTTAATAAATGCTTGTTCCTTTCGCCCCTTTCCCCCTTTTATCTCCATGAACGTTCATGCCATCCTTCCCTGTTGTTCACTCTTACCCTTGCCTGGTATTTCTTCTTGCTATTGTACTTTTCTAGAACTCATACACTATACTGTGGTCAGGCCACAAAGCCACATTTTTTTATCCTAACCACACCTTCTTTCATTTGCTTTAACTTCCAGTATATGGCTATAGCAAGATTAAAATTGTTCTCTTATGACTCCTGGTCCGATGCTTATAAAATTCCATTCCACTCTACAGTTGCTGCCTATGTACAAGTTCCCAGGATGGAGATAGACAGAAACAACATACTTCTTACCCTCTGGCCTTGACACCTCTCCATGACACCTCTATGAAAGTCCAACCACATCTACACAGGCCACAACCAGATGGAATGTCCCTCTTCACTCCAATCCAGAAGAACGTAATTTACATGAATATCTTCACATTTTTTCAAACTGAACTTTTACATCATCGGGTATATATCACACAACATAAGTTTTATTTAATTTTAAAAGTTCCTACTCACATTGAATAATATCTATGTATTTACTGAACAATCAAATAAGATAGAAAAAGAAATAAATATTGTTAACACAAAACTATCCAACAGCCCCAGGAGTGTGGATTCCATAAGTTACATTTCCCCTACCCGCTATAAGATGATCAATTAGCAAGACAGTTTACCTATACAGTATGGTTGCTACCCAGAGCACCCCACCCCCACCCCACCTCCTGGCTGCTCTTATACACCACCACAGCAGGTATCCCCTTCTCTTCACTTTTTCCCCAGTTCCTAAAGGAGCCCATAAGACCAGGGCAGTGGAGCTACAATAATGTAATGTTCATTATGGGAGATGAAGGGATTTTTGAGAAGGTAATTTTGACTTTATATGATTTTCCTCTTAAGACCTGACTTTATAACTCCACTGTAAGTTTATCCTTACTTCTTGAAATTAGGATTTTTAAATGCTACTTTTAAGGGAAATAATTTCTGGCTTCATCTTCATTCTTCATCTTCATTGCCATCAATTTTACTGCCCCACAATTCACTGGACTAAAAAGCAAGAAGAATACTCACTGAATGACATTGGGCATGTCATTTAAACAATCTGGACCTCAGTTTCCTTACCTGTAAAATTAGGGGGGGTCAGCCAAAATGATCTGTAAGGTACCTTCTAGTTCTGCATTGTCTTTTTCCTATGGATTTATTTCATAGCAATAACATGTTACTCCTGCAAAATGCAAAAAATACTTCTGGGGAAAACATCTTCAGAGTTTTAAAATAGTCCAGCTCCTTCCTGAACACTGGGAACAGACCACCTTCTCACTGGTGTCATATACAATTGGATATAAAGGGACTAAAATGGAAGTTAAGGGGAGCTCTTCATTGTGGCCTTTTCTTTTCACCATCTGTATAAATATGGTCAGGTTACCCTACAAACTTCAGTTATGTTCCTTGAACACCAAATTAAAATAGACTACCTAACATTCCATCTAACTTGCCATCCCTGACTCAAAAAGCCTTCCCTGATTCCCTTGCCAAAATGTCATAATGCAGAATTGCATTTTGTAATTGGACTTCATAGAGTTCTTTACTTTGTACCTAAACAGGTACTTATGTTGAATGAATGTATAAATGAAATAAAAAGCATTGATTAAACCAAGTGCTGTGCCAGGCCCTAGGGATATAAATACAAGCAGGCTCTGCAGACATTGTTTTATTATGATCCACACCTAAGACCTTCCTTTTGGACTCAATCTAGTCTAAACTCCATCTTTTTCCCTATCAACCAACAAAGTAACAGGCTTTAATTCTGTAACAAGGCACTACAGAGCCCAAACGAGGCTTCTTAACTTTGAAAGATCACAGTAGATACTTGTTTAAGGATTTGCTAAACTGAAAATGACATGCTTCCGTCTCTCCAAGTCACTGCCTGAAAATAAGGCTCACATCACAAAACTCTCCTAGAAAACACCGTGATGCAGAGTAAGAAGGGCAACAGTGAGTGGACTCTGGAAATCAAAGAACACCTCCTTACCCTACCCAAGTGTACACAATGCCCTGTGTTCTCATATTTACTACAAACTGTGGTACAGAGGTCATTCTACTAAACTTTTTTTTGTTTTTTTTTCTTGATGTCATTTTAATTTTTTTCAATAATTAATTTATTTTTAGTTTTCAACATTCACTTCCATAAGATTTTGAGTTTTAAATTTTCTCTCCCTCCCTATCTCTCCCCCACCCAAGACAACATGCATTCTTATATAGGCTCTATTCATACATTTATATTAAGCATATTTTCACATTAGTCATGATGTATAGAAGAATTAGAACTAATGGGAGGAACCATGAGAAAGAAGAAATAAAAGAAAAGGAAAACAAATAGTATGCTTCCATCTGCATTCGGACTCCATAGTTCTTTCCCTGGACTCAGCATTATCCATCAGTGTCTTTTGGAGTTGTCTTAAATCTTTGCATTTCTCAGAAGAGCCAAGTCTATCAAAGTCAGTCATTGCACAATGTGGCTGCTACTGTCTGTGTACAATGATCTCCTGGTTCTGCTCATTTCACTCAGCATCAGTTCATATAAGTCTTTCCAGGTTTTTCTGAAGTCTGCCTGCTCATCACTTCTTATAGCACAATTGTATTCCATTACATTCATATACTATAACTCATTCAGCCATTCTCCAATTGATGGGCATCCCCTCGATTTCCAATTCTTGGCCACCATAAAAAGAGCTGCTATAAATATTTTTGTACATGTGGATCCTTTTCCTGTTTTTATGATATCTTTGGGATACAGCCCTAGTAGTGGTATGGCTGGATCAGAGGATATGCACAGTTTTATAGCCCTTTGGGCATAATTCCAAATTGCTCTCCAGAATGGTTAGATCAGTTCACAACTCCACAAACAATGCGTTAGTGTTCCAATTTTCCATCTTCTCCAGCATTTACATGAATGAATTTTAAAAGTACTTATTAGGTACTTTCTATGTGCCAGGCACTATGCTAAATGTTGGACATACATATGCAAGCAAGGCAGTCCCTCCCTTCAAGGAGTCTGCATTCTAATAGGAGAAGACAATATATCTAGCAGAGTAGTAGAAAGGGAAGAGTGATTTGGACAGGAAAGTCAGAGGGAATGCTGAATAGAGTTATACGGTAATTGGCAGACATGTCCTTTCTGGGAATGGTAGTGTTGATTTGATTACTATTCTCTGAGCTGGAGTTGGAAAATGGGGGAAGGGAAGAAGGAGAAAGAGGAAATGGAGATGCCTGAGACATGGCTATGGGTCTGAATCTGGGCAGCATAAGGTGAATGTTCAATCAGAAATCCAGGGTTCTAAGGATAAGAGCATGAGTTTGGGGTCTTAAGTAGAAGTGACATAAGGTCACATAACATAACATGGAGCCAGCCAAGAAGTGGTACAGAAGGCAGAGTGCAAGTCTCACTTAAACCTACCATCTCCTCTCAAATATGCTATATATATAGAAGGCACTTGAGTATTTACTGATTGAACTTCTATACATAAACTGGTCAAAAATGGCATCAATGTGTATACACGTAGTGAGGGCTTCTAGGCAAGGGAGTCACCATTCTCAAAGTGCAAGGCAACTAAGTTCTAGTCCAGAAACATCAAATATACAGGCTGCAGACCACGTGTGCCCACAGTACTCGTTAGGGCAGCCTGAAGCAGATTAAAACATATTTGAGAAATAAAATAAATATAAAATAATAATATTACTATTACAAATAATAAAATAAAAATAAATAAAAATGCAATAAAACACAGATATTACATCTTAAGACTAAATCCCTATGATTATGTATGGTTTAGTGGCCCTGTTTCTATTTGAGTTTGATAACACTGTTCTCTTGGACTCTTTGGGGAGTTTTGGAATTTATAAAATATGTGATAGGAGATATTATCAAATTGTATGTGCAAAATTAGCAAGGATTCATTGGATTTACAGAATGAATGACCTCAATGCCACTAGTTCTCTCCCTCCCCAGTGTTTCCAGGCTCTCACAGCTTGAGGGTCCAGTCAACAGAAGTACTAGGCCCAGGGGTGGAGCCAAGATGGCAGAGTAAAAGCAGTGACTTGCTTGAGTTCTCCCCTAAACCTCTCCAAATACCTGTAAAAAATGACTCTAAACAAATTCTAAAGCAGCAGAACCCACAAAAGGACAGAGTGAAACAAATTTCTAACCCAAGACAACTTGGATGGTTGATGGGAAAGGTCTGTTGCACCAGGCTGGGAAAGGAACACAGTTCAGCATGGGACATGCAGGCAAAGACGAAGCCTCAGTGAACCTGGAGCAGTCCTCAGGGGATTAAATCAAAGGGCGCTGTGGCAGTTTACAGACTTCTTAACCCACAAATGCCAAAGACAACTTAGAAAGTCAGTAGGAAAGGTCTGTCCTGCAGTGATAGAGCAGCTCAGTCCCAGCCCCAGTCCTGGTGCAGCCCCAGGTTGGTGGCTGCTTCCAGAGCTGTCAGCCCCAAGATGGAGGGGGAATCCAGTGATAAGAGGGGGACTGCAGAGATCTCTTTGTTGGTGCTGAGGCAGGAATCTCTTGCTTTGCCCATGCTTGGTTCTGGGTCGCAGTTCCATGTGGTAGTCCTGGGGTGAGGAGGAGTGCTGGCATGGTGGAGCTTGTAGTGGCGGTAGAGAGAGAATCCTCCTCACAATTCCAAGGCAGAAAAAAGTGCTTGTGGTCACTCACAGAGAGCCCAGGCCAGGAAAGGAGTAAATACCTCTCCTTTGATCATACCACCTTGGAAGAACTAAAAATTTACAGGTCCCTAGAAGTATCTCTGAAAACAGCTGCACAAAATCCCCGAAGCTTGGGAAAGTATATTCTCCACACTGGAAGCAGACCCCTACCTTAACAAAGAGTTTAAAACTTAAGTAATTGGGTAGGATCATGAGCAAACTGCACAAAAAAAGTCAGACTATAGAATCTTACTTTGGTGACAAAGAAGATCAAAACATACAACCAGAAGAAGACAACAAAGTCAAAGCTCCTACATCCAAAGCCTCCAAGAAAAATATGAATCAGTCCCAGGCCATGGAAGAGCTCAAAAAGGATTTTGAGAAGCAAGTAAGAGAAGTAGAGGAAAAACTGGGAAGAGAAGAAATGAGAGTGATGCAAGAAAATCATGAAAAACAAGTCAACAGCTTACTAAAGGAGATCCAAAAAAATACTGAAGAAAACAACACCTTAAAAAATAGCCTAACCCAAACGGCAAAAGAGTTCCAAAAAGCCAATGAGGAGAAGAATCCCTTAAAAAGCAGAATTGGCCAAATGGAAAAGGAAGTCCAAAAGCTCACTGAAGAAAATACTTCCTTAAAAATTAGAATGGAGCAAATGGAAGCTAATGACTCTATGAGAAATTAAGAAATTGTAAAACAAAACCAAAAGAATGAAAAAATAGAAGACAATGTGAAATATCTCACTGGAAAAACAACTGAC